ATATAATATAAAAAATTCAGCTAAAATGAAGTATGAATACTGACTGACTTTGCCAATAATTGCTAAAGAAGCTGAAACGAAACAGCTAAAATTAAAAAGATTAGAACAAGTGTTAAAACTAACAAAGCTAAATGCTAAAAAATAGTAGCATGGAAGCTAAAATTACCAAAGCAACAGCAAAAAAAGCAAAACTGTAGCTAAAAACTAAAATAATCAAAACAAAAGCTAAGATTAGCAAAAAGTGGCTAAAAACTAAAACTGGAAAACAATAGCTAAATGGTAGCAAAACAGTATAGATCAAAACTCAGCAAAGAAATAGCTGAACAAAATCTAAAAGGTAGAATTAGCGTAAGTGTAGTTTAAAGCTAAAATTAACAAAACAAATCTAAGATCAGAAAATAGTAGCATTAAGCTTAACATGCAAAACGTGTTGCATATGTTGCTTAAAACTGAAATTAGCAAAACAAAAGCTAAAATCTAAAATTTGCTAAACAAAATCTAAGATCTGCAAAAAGTAGCAATAAGCTAAACATGCAAAATAAAAGCTAAAATGATTCAAACGAAAGCTAAGACCAACAAACCTAGTCGTTAAAAGCTAAAACGAGCAAAACAGAAGCTAAAAGCTAAACCTATCAAAGCAGTAGCTACAAGTTGGAAATTAATCAAGTATGCAACTACAGTCATACACAGCTGTTAACATTGTGCTAAAGCTGCAAGAGTCTTAAGACACACAAATTTATCTTTAATTTAACAGATTTTTTTTGTAATGTTTTGCTGCTGCCCCTGTGACCTGCCTCTGTGACAAGTAGATGGATGGATAGTTGGAAAATGGCATATAAAAATGTGCAATGCTCCACTGTTTCTGGAGTAAAGACCGAGAGGTTATAGGGTTGATAAAAAAAGAGTGACTGCAGCTGTGGTTGAAATAGGGAACAGGTATGGATGTGCATCAGACTGACTGGAAAAATACTAGCTGGAGGAGAAGTAGTTGACACAAAATAGAACCCAAAAACGGATCAAATAACAACTTTTAGAACAAAAGGATCCCAAAACACAGAAAATCAAACATAAAAGCTAAAAAGGAATTAATCTAATCTTAAATCCAAACTACCACAAAAAGTAACCAAATAACACAGAAACTGACCAAAAAATGCAATTCCATGTGGTTTTATAATAACTGTTGAATTGTTGTTTTTGAATTAGCACTATTCAAGTGATCTGAAATCCTATGTGTCCAAAAGGCATCCAATTATTATGAAGGAAATTATTCATCCATCCATCCATCCATCCATTTTCTTCTGCCTATCCG